ACTAGTTACCTTGAATTAAAATCTTCAATCGTGAATTAAAATGGTGTTTCTCCGTTTAACTCCTCACCGTCATCCCTTATTCTCGTCACATTGAGCCGTCAATAAAAACTCGATATAGTTAACTATGTTAGAAAGGTATATTTTTCATTATAGCTTACTACTATGTATGTTAACTCTTTATTACATTAGTTAACTATGTTTATGGTAATAGTCAACTATGTATGTTATTTTGTTTTCATTATAATAGGTAACTACGTTTTCAAATAGTTAACTATGTTTGTTTAAATAATTAACTATTATAACAATATTTTCATGTAGTTAACTATATATTGAAATCAGTAGAATAAATTACTATGTTCTGAAAATAGTTAACTATATTTTGAAATTGGTAACTAATTTTTGAAAATAGTTAACGATCTAAAAGACAATCACAATAATGTGATGTAGTTAACTATGTTCTTAGATGTTTCTAAAATAGTTAACTATCTTATCAAATAGTTAACTTTTACAGTATATTTATTTTATTTTGTCATCTTCTCATCCAAATGTTTTTCCACGCAGAACACATATTTACTTTTTTGTAGAAATACAAATCGAGTAGCAATTTTTTGAATGAACAAATCAAGGCCAAGAAAATATTTTAAGAATAAGTTAGTTACCGATTCTAGATATGACACTTCCATAAGAAAATATTTTTAGTGATTTTTATAGATTAATGGTAAATATTTTTAGTGATTTTTATAGATTTCTTTTTCCAATTTCGTAGTTTTTTTCCAATATTTATTTATTTCTCTTACAAACCTAAATTTCTTATAAATAAATTAGTTACCTAATTATGCATCCCAAAACCAATATTAAACTAATTAATAAATGTAATTTACCCCCCAAATATATTGGTTACATGACAAATGTTACGAGTCGCGTGCGTTTCACGCTCCTGGTTATTCGCCGCTCATCAATGTTTTTAATTTTTCCAATGCTTGAGGTCACATCGCCTGCTTCTGATTTTTTCTCTCTTGTTTCCTTTCTGAATCTTTCAATTTCTTCTAATCATGTCCTTGTTGCTCTCAATCATACATTCGTAATAAAACCTTCAATTTTTTTTGATTTACATGTCCTCCAAAAAAACAAAAATCTTCCTCGTCTCGCTTTTGTCAGATAAAAAAGGTACGACTTTAAAACTCCCCCATGTCCGAAACTCACA